AGTGAACCAAATGAAAAAAAAGCTGTTGTTCCCAGAGTCCCAGAATACTAGAACTAAGGGGCACCTGCTGAAATTAATAGGTAATAGGTTTAACACTGACAAGAGAAAGTACTTTTTCATGCAACATGTAGTTAACTTGTGGAGTTTATTGTCACAGGAGGTGGTGGAGGCAGATAGCACTGTCAAGTTCAAAAAGGAACTGGATAAATTCTTGGACGATAGATCTAAATAATGGCTACTGACCAGAAAGGCTGGAGATGTTTCCTCCGGCATCTCTAACCCAATAAATGGTAGATGCCAGGGAGGGTACTGAATAGGGGATAGATCACTCCCGAGATACCTGGTTTGATGCTCTCCCTGTATAGCATCCATTTCTGCCCCTGTCACAAAGACAGACTACTGGGCTAGACTGGACCATTGCTCTGACCCTATAAGGCACTTATGTTCTTATGACACAATGCTTTACTTCAGCAAATAGGCCCATCTTGGGACTGCTCACTGTAGGAAGGGTAAGCATGTATTTGCAGGATTGGGGTCTGTGTAAATCTCACACGCAGTAGACATAAACCAGAGTGGACTCTTTCTTTCTAAACCACTTTGCTTTATTATGAATGCTGTAAAAATGTGCTTCTCTACCACTGCCTGCTGCCATTAGGGTAAGAAATAGTCAGTGCAAGTGTAACCTTAAATGAGTTTCAGAAACAAATAAGTATTTTAGAGAGATTGAACACTGGCCACTTATGAACAAAATATGACACAACCTTACATTTGTATAAATCCTCTGGTTTAAAATGTGGTAAAATCTGCAGATTATGTAAACTAATGATATCAACAGGGTTTTTTTTGTTTTTAAACAACATTCTTTTAAATGAGCCATCAAAACATTTGCCCTTATTCATCTCAACGGCCAAGAGTTCCTACAGTTATGTAGTTAACCCAAATAAAACATGAAAACAGGCTATTTATAGCTTAGTTATACATAAAGAGAATTAAGCCTAGGTATAACTCAACGTGTTTATTAACCACAGCATTTCAGGTAGTGTTACCTTTTATTCATGATCAGTGATAATTTAATAATGCTAGGTTCTTGCCTGTCCTCTGTCACATGGTCAATCTGTCAGATATGCATAACACTGGCTGCCCAGTTACATTTACATGTCTCTCTTGCATGTACCGAGGCTTTGCCAATGACACAATCAACAAACCAACAATTGAACCCATATTGAAAAGTGATACTTACTGGCAGATCAAATTTTATTAAGAAAGAAACAACACTGCTTTGAAACGGGTGCAAGAAGGAATGGGGATTTACAAGATAGTGGAAATGGATCTAACCATTGCTCAAACTGTGGAATCTTATTTTAAACAGAAGATGAAAGAAAGGTAGAGGGGGACTCAACATTAAACGAACCTTAAAAATATCAATAAGCATTCACTCTCTACTCCCACTCCCCTGTCTTTTTTTTTTTAAACTAGGTTGATTTAGGGACATAACTGAAGCATTTGTTTCAAGTCTCATAATAACTTCTGCACAACACTTAAGGATATGTGCTTCTCAAGCAAAAGGACATTCATTAGTGGTGACGAGAAAATTTTTCACATCTCACACACTTAAAATTAAGGGGAAAAAAAAGCAACAGTACCTTCCTTACAATCTCATTTCTTACTAAAGGCCATGCCTGAGTTTAAGTCAACCTATTTCTGAAGCATGCTTGATGTACTAAATATAGAACAAAATCCATGTCAAAATATTGTGCATAGATTGCAGCAGGAAAGTTAGAAGACACTATAGTTCTCCACTTTAATTTCCATTCCTAATTGCCTTTTTTGTTTTTAAACAAGCTACAATAAAGGGCTGCAACAGAGTTTCTGAAGAAACGTTACCACCAGTACTTTCTGCTTCCTAATGTTAAAAAGGGGGAGAGGGTAGAGGGAATTTCTTGCTCTTTCTAAACCAGGTGTGTCAAACACTTGGCTGGTGGAGCCACTGACTCCAGAGAAGAGGGGCCTGTCACAAAATCCTGGACCCCAGGCCCTTCTGGCTATTGACAGCAAGAGGACAAGCAAGGGCTGTGCAAGATAGCCTTGGGTTGCCCTGCAGCTACCTGGCCCACTCCCACTGCCCTTGGACCTGGCCCAGGAGAAGCCCTGCAGACTTGATACAGCCTGAGGATCAGGGTGAATTTGACACACTTGGCCTAAAGGAAAGGAAAATCTACACCACTGATTGTTTCTTTAAAGACACCTGGAAAGTGAAGGGGCTGTTTTGCTGATAAAAGTCAATGTTATTCCAATAAACATTTCACTAAACAGTGAACACAGTATCACTTTTCAAGAACATGAATCAAAGCACAAAGTCATCCCCTATTAGAAAATTTGCTTTAAGTAAAAACATGCAGTAGGGATGAAGCAGCAATATCGGTTTAAGTTTAAATATTTTGGATGGAATTTTCTGTTTTATGCAACTATTCTTCAGTGTTTGAGTTTGACTGCTCAACTTCATGGACTCAACTTTTTGTGTGTGTAATTGCTTCAACTGAAGAGCAACACAAAAGCAGCTGTACTTAACTTCAAGTATTAATTCAGTGATTAGACTGGTTATTGCATAATACAAGGACACTGTCTAGCAGTAAGTGGGCAATATTCCAAAATGCTTCTGAGTTTTTACTGAGGTTTGGGAGAGAAAATAAGGAGACTTCATAACCTAAGAACAAATTCAGGAAATCCAAAGCCATAAAACATGGATTCCATGACAACTTAAGTACATCCCCTCTCCTCCCATGCAGCTATCTGCTCTACACTAAAATTTCTCCCCTCTCATGTTGCTGCTCCAACTTCTAATTATGTCTCACCCTATGGGCATCATCTACAAAGATTTGTCATGGCTACCTCTCCAGTCAAGTCCGAGAGAGAGACTCCAAAAGATCACGTTTGAAACCAGTCTGTTTCCACGTATTACTCAGGTGAGAGAAAATGCAAGTTTAAGGCAATCCAAGCTGTGTTATGCAAAGCTCTTTGTTAAGCGACTTTGTGCCAAACTTGACAGCTCTTGTTACAAGCTAAGGACTATATTTAAACCACGTTTACATCACTTGACATTACTTTGAATACTAAGGTCTGAAAGATTTTATAAATGAAAGCGTAATATACTTCCAGATAAAATAATAATCTCCTCAAACATGTAAACACCAAAATGTTTGCATCACTTTGTACTATTATAAAATCCTATCTTTCTTTGGATCCATATTTACAAATCTAGCTGTTTCTAAAAACAGCTGTGATGTAAACCAGAACAACTAGTAATATTAAGGGAATCAGGTAACTATTATATCTTCTATATAAATTACCACAAAAGCAAACTCAGTGAATTTATTCTGAACAAATAAAAATAAAGAACATTCTGATCTGATCAGCATGTGATGCACATTTTTGGAATAGTGTCAGTCATGCCATGTAGTACCAGTAAAACCAAAACAGATGTATGGTTTTTAAGAGAGAGAGCCATACATTTAGTTTACAGCAATCACCATCAGTGCTTCCAGCAATTTTAAGATACATTGGCACATGGAAGATAACTATACGGAAACTTGCTTCTAACCTCAATTTCTTTTAAATATTTTTTTTAATAAAATACTGGACACCTTTCTGCTCCAATCCCCAGCCACCCAATATCTTTCCTGCATGGAAACGTAACACAATTCAGAACCACAAATCAAACAGGTACATTTAGGACCTATCTAAAAAATATTTTAAAATAATTTTTTTCAGACCACTAAATTTAACTCATTATAGGGTGAAAAGCTCATGCATGTTTTATTTCTAAGTGATGAAAATAGATATGCCAAAAAGTACAGAACTACATGGTTCTAGCAACTCCAAAAATGACAATTCCTAGTATGTACTTTTAAATAATGTAAAAGGGTGAGTTCATGAATAAAGAAGACAGCACTTGTGTTGTATTTTTATAACTCCAACTAGGAGGACAGGTCACTGAAAAATGTATAACCTAGAAAACTAATCGAGAACAAACCAGACTGCCAGAGTAGGGAGCAATACAAAACCCTTTTAATTATAAACAAATCCATTCAGAATTGAGTAATGAAACTGAGGATGGAAACAGAGAGGAAATAAAGGAAAAAATATCCACAAGTTGACTGTTTCCAAGTACACCAGGGACCAGGGACTATTGTTTATACCATACATATACTACACAGCACAGTGGAGCCTGGAAGAC